TCATCTAGATTATTTATTTGTCGGCATACAGTTGTTCATAGTACTCTCTTATAATCCTTTTTTGTTTTTATAGAATTGTTAGTTATGTCCCGTTTTCATTTCTAATTATAGCAATTGGAGTCTTTTTTTTTCTTAGCTCATCTAGCTAAAAGTTTGTCAATTTTGTTGATCTCTTCAAAGAAGCAATTTTTGGTTTCATTAATTTTCCTATTGTTTTTTTTTTCTCTATTTCGTTTATCTCTGCTCTAATCTTTCTTATTTTCTTCCTTCTGCTTACTTTGAGTTTAGTTTGTTCTTCTTTTTCTAGTTCCTTAAGTTGTAAAGTAAGGTTATTGCTTGGATATCTTTCTTGGTTTTTTTTAATCTAAGTACAGCTATAAATTTTCCCTTGGAACTGCTTTTGCTGCATTCTGTAAGTTTTGGTATGTTGTGTTTTTGTTTTCTTTCATCTCTAAGTATTTTCTAATTTTCTTTTTGATTTCTTCTTTGATCCGTTGGTTGTTTAAAAGTATATTGTTTAATTTCCACTAATTTGTGAATTTCCAATTTTCTATTATTGATTTCTAACTCCATCTCATTGTGGTTGGAGAAGATACTTTTAATCATATTTATCTTTTTAAATCTATAGAGAGTTGATTTGTGGCCTAATATATGCACTGTCCTAGAAAATGTTCCTTGTGCACTTGAAAAGAATGTGTATGGTATTGTTGTTGGGTAGAGTGTTTCATATATGTCCATTAGATATATGTGGCTTATGGTGTTAAGTTCTGTATCTCCTTATTGTCATCTGTCTGGTTGTTCTACCCAATATTGAGAGTGGGATATTGAAATCTCCAACTATTATTGTAAAACTTCTGTTCTCCCTTCAATTCTTTTAGTTTTTGCTTCATATGTTTCAATATTTTGTCATTGGGTGCATAGATGTTTATGATTTTTATCTCTTCTTGCTGTCTTGAATCTCATTAATATATAATATCCTTTTATGTCTCTTGCAATGTTTTTTGATTTAATGTCTATTTTGTCTGATATTAGTATAGCCACACTGCTCTCTTTTAGTTACTATTTACATGGAATATCTTTTCCCATGCTTTCACTTTTAATCTACTTGTGTCTTTGGATCTGAAGCCAGTGTCTTGTAGACAGCATATAAATGGATCATGCATTCTTATCCATTCTGCTAGTTTAGGTCTTTTGATTGGAGAGTTTAATCCATTTACATTTAAAGCAATTACTGATAAAGAAGGACTTGCTTCTCTCATTTTCCTATTTTCCTTATAGCTTTTTTTGTCCCTCATTTCCTGCATTGCTGTCTTCTTTTGTGTTTAGTTGATTTTTTGTAGTGGAATATTTCAATTTCTTTCTCATTTTCTTTTGTTTATATTTTATAGCTGTTTTCCTTGTGGTTATCATAAGAATTACATTTAACATCCTAAGGTTATAACACTCTAATTTGAATTTATACCAGCTTAACTTCAAGAATATAAAAAAATTTGTGGGGCTGGCCCAGTGGCACAGTGGTTAAGTTCATGTGCTCCAATTTGGCAGCCTGAGGTTCATGGGTTTTGATCCTGGGGGTGGACCTACACACTGCTCCTTAAGTCAAGCTGTGGTGGTGTCCCACATACAAAATAGAGGAGTACTGGCATCAGTGTTAGCTCAGCAACAGTCTTCCTCAAGCAAAAAGAAGAAGATTGGCAACAGATGTTAACTCAGGGCCAATCTTCCTCACACACACACACACACACAAAATTTGTTCCTCACGTCTTGATCCTTAATCCTTTTTTTTGTTGATGTCACAAAATTATACTTTATACCAAATATTTGGAGGTTTTTTTGCATTTTGAATATATTGGCCCACTGCCTTCTATCCTGCAAAGTTTCTGTTGAGAAATTTTCTAATACTCTTATTGAGGATCCACTATATGTGATGAGTTGCTTCTCTCTTACTGCTTTCAAGATTCTCTCTTTGTCTTTGTTTTTTGAAAGTTTGTTTATGATTTGTCTCTCTGTTGTTCTCCTTGATTTCATCCTACTTGAAATTATTTATTTTTTTTTAAAGATTGACACCTGAGGTAACATCTGTTGCCAATCTTCTTTTCTTCTTCTTGTTCTCCCCAAAGCCCCCCAGTACATAGTTGGGTATTCTAGTTGTAGGTCCTTCTGGTTGTGCTATACGGGATGCCAGCTTAGCATGACCTGATGAGCGGTGCCATGTCCATGCCCAGGATCTGAACTGACAAAACCCTAGGCCACCCAAGCAGAGTGCATGAACTTAGCCACTCAGCCATGGGGCCAGCCACCTACTTGAAATTCTTTGAGATTCTCAAATGTTTGTATTCATGTCTTTCATCAAATTCAGGAAGTTTTCAGCCATTATTTCTTCAAATATTCTCTCCCTCTTCTCCTTCTAGTACTCCAGCGGTGCATAGGCTGGTCTGCTTGATGGTGTCCCACAGGTCTCTTATACTCTGTTCACTTTTCTTTGATCTTTTTTCCTTCTGTTTCTCAGATTCAGTAATTTCTCTTTTCCTTCAAGTTTGCTTATTCTTCTGTCTGCTCAAATATGCTCTGAATCTCTCTAGTGAATTTTTCATTTCATTTTTCATTTCATTATTGTACTTTTCAGTTCCATTATTTCTTCCTGGTTTGTTTTCAGGTTTTATATCTCTTTATTTATACTTTCATTTTGTCACACATTGTTTTCCTGACTTTCTACACATCTTCCTTTAGTTCTTTAAGCATCTTTAAGACAGCAATTTTAAAGTCTTTGTCTAGGATATCTGCTATCAGGTCTTTTTGGGGGCTAGTTTGTTGATTTTTTTTCCTTTGAATGGGCCATACTTTTCTCTTTCTTTGTATGCCTTGTGAATTTTTGTTCAAAACTAGACATTTGAATCTAATAATGTAGTAACTCTGGAAATCAGATTCTTCTTCTCTGCCAAGGTTTGCTGGTTTCGGTTATTGCCTTTTTTTATTGTTTTCATATTTTTGATTGTTGCAGGCTGCCTCTGTGTTGAGGTTCAGCCTGAAGTGTAAATTTAAGGTCTTCTTAAGTCTTTTCTGAGCCTTTCCCTGAGCATGTGCTGTCACTTTCTAAGTTTCCTCACACATGTAGTTGTTTTTGAATATCCTAGTCCTTAATATCTGACTCCCAAAAGGGAAAAAAAAAGAATAGTGAAGAAGGGAGGGATAAGAAAGGTTCTGGCCCCTGAAAACCCTTGGAAGTCACTTCAGCCACTGGGAGAGGGGCTTGCAACAATGGGGGGAGGTGCAACAACAATGGCTGGCTGCCTCTTTGTCTGTACCTCTGGGATCAGAAGCACCAATCAGTGATCAGAACACAGATTCCCAATATTGGGAGGACAGGGTGCTTTTTGCCTACCCTGTCTCCTGCAAACTGCTTCTGAAACATATGCACGACTGCCTGGCACGGGGCCGAGGGGTGGAGGATGAGCAGCTCCTACTGTATTAAGAGCTGAAATTGACTGAAATTATCCAAAATTTACAGACCAAGCCTTCCCCTGAAAGGTGCAAGCCTTCAATAGACTCCAGAGTTCCAAACTAAATTAGAAAGGTTCTGCCAGCGCAACTGTTGTTTAGGTGGAGACGCAGTTTCCTGATACTTCCTTCTTCGCCATCTTCCCAGAATCGTCTCTGTAAATGAATTTTTGTGCAATGAATTGCTCTTTAAATTTTATATTTTTTCACTAATGAATTTCTGTTATGTAAGGGAAAGCTTTAGGATTTTCTCCTTTATTAGATTTGGAGAAGGATTACTGAACACCAGCTATGGCTCTCAGACAAAGAGCAAACAAACAATAGCAACAATATTTAAAAGATGGGTCGGAAGAATTAGGAGGTCATGTTTCTTTGCTTTATCTGGAATTCTGTTATTTAGTATTGACCACGCATTCTGATAGGCAGTAATGTTTGTTTTTTATAACAAAAATTTAAAATAAAAGATATAAATCAGTGCTTATTAAGTGAGGCTTAATAGACAAAAATAATGTTTAAAACATAGAGGCAAAGGGTGAAAATAACAAATACGCAAATTGGTAATGAAAGGATTAAGAATCATTGTTCAGAATTTCTATGAGTCTTGAAGAATTTTCTAATGATTCAAAAATACCAATCGTATTATACACTAAGATCCAGTTACCTGCTGCACATAATTTAAGATCTCCTCTGAATGCTTGAGTAGTCATCAAAGATTACAGAATTTTAGAACAAGAGAAGATTTTAGAGATTAGTTTTATTTGGTTGATTGACTCTGGGTTGAAATAGTTATTAGTTTAGAAATTTAATTCCTCCATTTCCTATATCTCTGAAAATGGGTATTACAGTAGAAAACATCTCAGTAAAAGTTAGAGAAGATGATATTGGTCTGTGGCATAGTGGAATATTTTTCTACGCTGTGTGTTCCCTTTAGATGGTGATAAAACTATTTGGGGGTCATTTAGCATCCATCTGTTACATTTTTAAAGAGCATTTTGGTTTAAAACAGATTTTGAAAATTATCCTTTGAACTCATGCACAGACTTTCTAAAATGCCTGTGTTGCCCACCAAAAGATGCCTGGTACACTTCAATTTAAAATTTCCAAAAGAAAATGAGAGAGGAGCTTTCACAAAGTAATCAATTTTTCCAAAGGGAACAGTGCTAGTGGTTTAATGAGAAAAATCAAGTTAAATTTATTATATAGTTAATTAGAGTTTTAGATTTTCCACAGTACTTTTAAAATAAAGGCTATTAATTTTGTTTATTGAACTATAAATTAAAACACAATTATAAATGTATTTTTAATCATTAATAGTATGGATATTTCATTGCCCAAATAAAAGGCAGCTAACTTCTAAAGTTGGTATTGTGGAAGAGAAAAGTTGCACAGGAAATAAAGAAGATCCAAGAGTACTTTATTAAAAATGTAAATATCCTCTCTAATGAAAATGCACACATAAGGGTGCACATGCAAATGTCCTGACAGCTGTGCTGTTGTTTCAGCTTCTACAGATGACAGTGCAGCCGAGAAGAAAGGGGGAACCCTTCATGCTGGCCTCATTGTTGGAATTCTCATCCTGGTCCTCATTATAGCAGCAGCCATTCTTGTGACAGTCTATATGTACCACCATCCAACATCAGCAGCCAGCATCTTCTTTATTGAGGTAAGTGTCAAGTCTAACACATAAAAACCATGCTCGTTGATGAACCATATCCTTTTGCTAACACCACCTGTATTTAATATTTAGCACATGATTTCTCTATTTTGCATTTGCAAGCTGGCTGATTTGACACATGCACAAACACACGCACATATTGACACATTGCTTTCATATGATGAATTGGGTTACCTTATCTCAAGAGCTTCTAAAGAAATGAGCTATGTTTCCTTTTGTATGTCTAAAGGAAAATAGAAACCATACTTTTTTGTTGTATTATACCAAGCATGTTAACCAGCTGTTCTCCTGATCTTAGAAGGAAATGCAGCATATGCTGGAGGCTGAAGGACTTAGCTTAAGTCAATTAATCAATAAATACTAATTGGATATTGACTGGATGCATGATACAATATGGTGGGCTTGCTCTCAAAATGCTCACAAACTATTTAGGAAAAATATAACTTTCACTACTAAATGGAAATACATAAAATAAAGTATAGTACATGATAAAGTAGTGGTATGTGCCATCAGTATTGTGTGTAACATGGCTATATCTATACATTTAGATGAAATGCACACACACTCATAACACAGAGAGAGTACAGTGCTGCACCGGCATTGTGTTTCCACGTTCAGAATATAGACTTAAGTGCCAAGGCCCAGGAGCAATCAGATGGAGGACTAGCGGCTGTGTATAAGGGGCCAGAGCCAAGCCCTGGTGCCCAGCAAGCCTGAAACTGGGAAGCTGTGGGCCACAGGATAAAGTCCTGTAACAAGTCACCTTCTATTCCCCAGGCGATTGGGCTTCCTGGGCCTCCTGAGTGTGCAGCTTTCACTCCAACATCCTAATGGGGCCACCGCTCTGCCAACACCAAAATAACACTAGAGCAATAAAGGAAGTCTTCCCCCTCAAAGTTTCAAACATGTAAAGTTTAAATCTTTTCCAATTCACTGGGTGATGTATTGAAAGGTTGCTTAGAATTTTGTTCACTTGCTGAGTGAGAATGATAACACTATTTGAACTACAAAGTTAAAATCAACTTTGTCCCTTGTAATAGGGAAAGACGAATGCAAATCAATTAAATAATTGCTCGAAAGGCTACCTATCTCTCTACAGTCTGTAGAAAATAGCACAGTCTCCTTGGGTCAGTATTTAAGGCCTTGGCCATCTGGATATTGGCTATCGTTTCAAGCTTTATCTCATTGCTTCCCAACCTGGAGCTGGCACTACCATCAATTTTAACTCTTTGCTCTCCTCCATACACACCCCAAATTCTCCATGCCACCAAGACATTGCTCACTCTGTTTCCTCCACCAAGAAAGCCCTCCACTTCCACCTCAATGCTTAAATTCGGGATCCAAACAGCCGTCAAGGCCAGGTACCCCATAAGCTTCCCTGGGCCATCTCGCTGTTTGGACAGCTGGTCATAATCTCTTTCTCCTCTGAAATTCTATCCATAGTAATACATCCATACCTTTCTCTGGCATTTTCTTTTCTGTTTTGCATTAGAGTTAACTATGTACGTGATTTATACCACCTGCAGACATATAAGTTCCTTAAGATTTGAATTAAATAACTTAAGCTTCTTTCAAATATGAGAGATTTTATCAGTGTTTTCTTTAAAAAACTAATAAGTGTCCTAGGATATTTCAGACTTCCACTAAAATTTCACATATGACGTATTTCAGAAATGATGTCCTCGTTTAAAATCATAACTGAGAAATTGTCAGGCACTGCCTTTGGTTGGAAAGCTGTTATTAAGTTTTGTTAATGTGCTTGATTTTCATGGAAGAAAGAAAATTTTCCTGAGGTCATGGATGCATTTCTCCAAGAGCTAACAAATGACAAGCTGTAAAGCTTCAGCGAAAACCAGACAGCAGGCCACTGCTGAAACCCCTCACGTATTTAAGCCTTTTAATACACTGTATGGTTTATTTTCTGACATTGTGAAAAAGAAGATCCTGTGAAATATCTGATGATGATGGTATTAGTAGTAGATTACACAGGCAAAGGACCTAGTTCACACCAATTCTCGGCAGCCCCTGTAGGAATACAAAGTGAGACTAGAGTAATGGAAGTATTTTTTTTGACGTTTGCCTTTTTGATTCAGTCTCATTGTTTTATTTATTTATTTACTTATTTTAAAAGATTGGCCCTGAGCTAACATCTGTTGCCAGCCTTTCTTTTTTTTCCTTCTTCTCCCCAAAGCCCCCCAGTACAGAGTTGTATATTCTAGTTGTAAGTCCTTCTAGTTGTGGCATGTGGGACGCGGCCTCAGCATGGCCTGATGAGCGGTGCCATGTCCGTGCCCAGGATCTGAAGTGGCGAAACCCTGGGCTGCTGAAGTAGAGTGCACGTACCTAACCACTCAGCCACGGGGCTGGCCCCTGGTCTCATTGTTTTGTAATCAGAGTCTATATGTCCGTGTGTGTGTTGTGTGTATGGGGGGATGTGGAGGCAGGTGTTTGTATGTGTATACGCACACATGTATTTATAGAATGTTTAAAGCTAGAAGGAATCTCAGAGATAATTTAGTTTTATACCCTCATAACACAAAGGAAAAGATTGAGGCTCAGAGTGGTGGAATCATTTCTCCAAGGTGAAAGGCCAAAATTTCAGGAAGGACTCTCTCATCTTTCCACACTCGGGTGAAGCAGAATCATTCGGCAGGTTCCTCAACTTTCCTCCTCTTCGCCTTTTTCCTTGCTGTGGAATCAATTGCCAATTTCTGCTTCAATCACTACCTCTCTGACACCCTGCTCTCCTCAGGCAGCTCACAGGGGCTGCTTGCCAGATGACTTTTGAAGATGATAATCATAACTTTACTATTATTAAAGCTGCCTCATGTTGGCAAAATCAAAACATAGATCCGTGATGACTGCAGTTGAAGACTGAAGTTGAAGGTTGTAAATTACTAATTAAGTCAGTGTTATTGGTGCATAAAAAGATTGAGTTTACCCACATCATGTAAATTGCTTTTTATATTCCATATTACTTTTTAATGAAAAATTAAAAAATTAAATCGATGTGCTTTTTTCCATGATGAAAGCACTACTTGTTCAATAGAGAACATTTGCAGAAATGTAAAGGAAGAAAAAGCAAAGTCATTTACAGTCCCAACATGCAGACACAATCAGTATTACTATTTTAATTTATTTTCTTCTGGAATTTTCATATGCATAATATGATGTTTGCCCATTTAGTATAGTAGTGACTTCACTGAAATGCAAATTAATTTTTTTAATCAAATAACATTTTTCTATTTTATTATGAACTCTTTGTAAACATTATTTTGATTTGAACATTCATTCAATAGCTTTATATCGATCGCCTCTTCCGCTGTCAAGTGGTGTTCAGAATTCACTGAGGGTCTAACACTGCCTAGAAGTGAAAAAATAACCTTATTTCACCCAGTTTGACTGTGTGTTAGTTTCCTATTGCTGCTGTAACAAACTTCTACAAACCTAGTAGCTTAAAACAACACACACGTTATCTTACAGCTTTGGAGGTCAGAAGTCCAAAATTAGTCTCACTGGGCTAAAGTTAAGGTGTCAGCAGAGCTGCTTCCTTCTGGAGGCTTCAGGAGAGAATGGTTTGCCATTTTTAGCTGCTAGAGGCCTCATGCATTTCTTGGCTCGCTGTCCCTTCTCATCATCCCAACTTCTGCTCCGTCATCGCATCTTCTACCACTAACTCTGACCCCCCTGCCTCCTTCTTGTAAGGCCTCTTGTGGTTACTTTGAGCCCACATGGATAATACAGAATAATCTCCCCATCTCAAGGTCCTTAATTTAACCACATCTACAAAGTCTGTTTTGCCATGTAAGGTGACATCGACAGGTTTTGGTGATTAGGACATAGACATCTTGGGGAGGCCATTATTCTGTCTGCCACAGACTGCGTCAAATGTAAGATGCATCACACAGTACCCATTACACTGTAACATGCCCTTGACCATAAAACACATCCCAATTTCTGTGATATTAAAATGTGACCCAGTGAGTATCTTGTGTATTTCACAATGAAATCCAGACTGCATTAAACACATGTAGGAATTTGTTCTTGTGCTCTACACTGTGTACACTGTGATGAAATTTAATGACTTTGTCCTTGAGTGGATAGATCAGAGTTCATGCAGGCAATCGCATATTGTGGAGCATTGGGGCTCTTCCCATTTTTTTGCTCTTACAGTTAATCCCACTATGGACATAATAATGATTACAGCAAACATTTATTAAATTCACTAGTGGAAATGATTTATACTTATTGCCTCATTTAGTCCTCATGAAGACCCCGTGAGGTACTAAGATTATCTCTATCTCATAGATGAGGAAGCTGAGGCACAGAATTTAATTAACTCTCTCAACAACGTGCATTTAGTCAGTGGAGAAGTCAGGATTTGAGCCCAGAATCTCCAGAGACCATACCCTTAACCACTAGGCCATGCTGCCGCTCTGTGTGTGAAGGGTTTTCTTCTTTCACTGTATATAGAAATATAAGAAGATGTATATCTAAGGATGTACATGGTGTCTTTAAAACAGATTCCCGACAGTAGAACCAAAGGAAAGAAACAGTTTAAAGACTCTTAAGAAATATTGGCAAAATCATTGCCCAGAGATGTACACCAATTGATGTAGCTATTGTTGCTGTTGGCGTTTTTAGTGAAGATAATGAGAGTGGTTATTATCTGTGTGTTTTGTTCTTACAGAAAATATACACCAGTTATTATACATTTTGTGGACACAAACTCTTCCTCGTACAAAGTATTTACATAGGTGTTAGCTTTCAAACTTCTTGTTTGTGGGAAGAAAATAAGATAAAATGGGAATTAAAATCTAGAAATACATCCTTATACGGAGTAAGGCAATAAAGGCAATAAAATTACTAAAATCAAGAGAAAAGTAGATGAGAGTCAGGAGGCTTTGGTGATAAAGCAAATCACCCCATATACGTGTAATTAAACAATAATTGAATGGACTGTTTACACCCCGTGTCTTCATATACAG